TTGAAGTCTGTGGGTCATTTTCTTTTCTTCATATTGTATGTTGTTTCTAAATGAATTAGCTTCTAAGCTAATCTGTCACAGATTTAATTATGGTACACAATCACAAGGGAGTTGGTTTTCGCTGACGCTGAGCAAGGAACTTTATTGAATAAGGAAAACAGTTGTGTACTTAATTCTAGTTTGGTCTTCCACTTTCTCTGTTTCACTGTGGAGCTACTCCAATCTTTTCTTGCTAAAAGATTAAAGAAAAAGGCATCTGGATAAAAAGAATAGTTGCGTGCATCTTCCTTGACAGTAAGAGTATGCAACACCCTGAAAGTGGCAGAAGTGATGTTTTCCATACTTTGCAGACGAGGAATTATATTCAAGTTGTCTCAGATTCTTCCTCCATACTGTCCTCACCACCACCTTAAGTCAAGGAGAGAGACTTGTTACAACTTTTTAACCTCATCTCCCTGTACTTCTTTCCTCCTGAAGTCTTAGCACTTGGAGATGAGCCTCTTGACGTTGACATTCCTTCTCAGCTCACAGACATGTTGTCGAGAGAGGTTCATCTGTACCCAGCAGCACTTTCTTGCTGCTATTTTTTCTAACCCCTCTTTTCTTTGCTTGATTCCAAGACTGTTTTGTTATATTTTCTGTGATGAAAGGTTTGGGATTATTCCTTCCCTCACTTTGCTAACAGTATACCTACAGCTACAATTCTTCCCTCTGTAGCTTGCTCTATAACATCCTTTAGGTAGGGATGATTTGGCTAATAGTAAATATTGCAGTATTCTCTTTGCTCTAGGCTTAGGGTTTGCCAGACCTTTGTACAGATGTTATACAGATAATATTCTGTATGAGCATTAGGAGTAGGTGAGAGAGGCTTAGTGAAAGTCGCACTGCTTTTTTCCCCCCATCATGTGGAAGGTGCTTTCTCTAGCTATAGGCAAGTAAGTGTTTTCTCTGCAAGCATGAAATGTTCCTTTCCCCCACCCCAAACTATTTGTTGAGTTGTGTTATCGATCTCTCAGGTGGTCAGCTACATCTGACTATCTTGCTGGGAGAGGTGCTCAAGAGTTTAAAGCCAGGAATCAGTACTACCTTTGCTTCTGGTCAACGTGATGGCAAGTTTATGTACCTGAATGTCCAGGTGAAGGACTTCCAAGGGCATTAAGCCACAAGCTATTCCTTTCTCCTCTTCCTTCTCTCTCTCTCTCTATTTTTTTTTTCCAGCTTAAAAAAAACAAAGTAGCATAAGTGGTCTATGCCACAGAAATATGTTTGTCACACTACATCACTTTGAACTGCATAACATCAAAGAAAATCAGTGCTTTGATAACTTGATTTGAAAGGATTGTAGAAATAGCCATCATTATGAATCACAACAGATAGGAATGGAAAGGATGGTGATTTTCAGACAGCAAAGCTTGTAAGGTGAGGGAAAATGTAAGGTAGGTGCCAGTGCCACATTCTCATCTAAAATACCCCAACCTTACAACTGTTACGTAGCTTTGCAGAATATGATTTACTTGAGGATATGAAGAGGAGTGAGAAATACTCTGTGTAAAAATGTGTTTCTGAGGAACAAGGAAACAAACATGGGTTCAGAGAAGGGCTAGAATAAGGGAGAAAGCAATGTATGCTGCTTGGGTAGGAACTTCTTCCACTTTCTCCATTTTATAAAACCACCCTTCCTGAAGGGAAAGGCATCCAAGATTGCTTGCTGAAACCACCCTCCTCACCTTGGAGACCTTTAGTTCTTGTGAGCTGGACATAGGGAGGAGGAGGGAAGCCCCCCCAGCACTTCTGTGCTTTGTCATTCCTCTCCTGAGAAAACTCTCTCTGTGGACTGGAATGAGTTTCTGGTTCTAGGAGGTTGCAAGAAATTAGGCCTTAAAATGGTGACTTCTCAACTGCAAATGTTTTAGTTTTCAATGATGGCAATTCAAATTGGAGTTAGCTTATTCTTGCCTTCAGTCTAACGGATAGGAGCTAGGGCACTAAGACAAACTAGCAGCCTGTGGAGTGGCAGGGAGTGCACAGTGGCAGTTAGATGAAATCAGTGTGTCCTGTTCCATCCCCATCCTCATCCCCCAGACAAGTAAGTGTTGGCTAGTGGGGAATGTTTATAAAGATTTCAATGGCATTGAATTAGGAGACTTCAGTCTCATTCAGATACAGCTTTACCACTAGTACTTCGTCAGCTGGTCCAAACACATTGAGCTAGAAAATATTACATGTCATTTAGCAGTCTCTGTTTCATCCAGTGTGAGGTGATGGCTGTGTGTAATGAATGCTAAAGTTGGAGCCAGTTGAGGTATGAAGACAGATGCTTCAGTGCTTTTCAGTGATAGGAAATTCAGAGGCAACTAGTGAGGATAAAGATTCAGACCCTTCACTTCTTTTAGCAAGGCTGGCACAGAAGAACGTGCTGTACTGTGGTGTTGCTAACACAAACATCCTCTCTGAGGGCTTGTTCACATTTAGCTTGGGAAAGGAGAATGTTCTCTTTTGTAGATTCCTTCCTTCATCTTGCTTCATGAGGAGAGGAGTGGGCATACTTCTGTTTCCTTTACAGAGGAGCAAGATTTACCTCTGTTGTGCTTTTAAAAACGAGCTGCATAGCACTAGTGTGAGTACCTTCTACAAGCATCTTCCAGGGCTACTAGTCAGATGAATGTCATGTCAGATGAACAGGACTAGTATTTCATGTCTCATCAGCTGTTCAAAACCTTCACCTTTATGGATGAATGCATTTTAAAAATTGAAAGTATAGTTCTACTATACTCTGTATGTACTACAGAGCACTGATACTGAGCTTACTACCAGGCATGCCTGCTGACTTAATCCATAACAGCACAGTGGAGCAGGACTGCATGGAAATTCTTTTAACTCACTAGTCAGGAAACTGCTTTTTAAAAAAAAGAAAAGAACAGGAAAGAAAAGACGGGAAAATGCGTGCTTTGCACTGAGGAAAATATGAAGTTGTTGGCTCCTAAGTTCTGATCCCAAGCCACAGTCATAGGTCATCTTTTTTTGTAACACACTGCTGAATTACTTGAATTGACTTTACCGTTATAAAAGGCATACGTGCATTCTTTCTGCCCTAAAAATATTGCTTTGCAAGAAGTTCTGCTAATATTTACCATACAAAAATTATTTCTACAATGATAATAGTTTACATTCATAATGTTTGGGTTTTCTGTTTGATTATTAGCTAAGACGAGATCACATTTTTGCATTATGTATGTTGAGTTACACCACTTGAGATATATGTTTTTACTTATGCTCTGATCTTATGAATGGTAAAGGAGGAGACATTAACATAAGTATCTCTTTCGTCAACAGACCTGTTCATATATTTGCCTTTTTCAAGAAACTGCATGTCCTCCCTTCAAAAAAAAAGGGAAGGGGGAGAGAGAGATGGAGACAGGACATGTCCCACACTGATTCACTTGATAGCGTGCATTGCAGAGAATCAATGGCCAAATGGCTCTGGAGTGTGGAAGAGGAGGAAGTGAACTAATTGTGTTGGTCAGGTTATTCTAATTATTTTGATTAGAGCACAGGGGACATGGTAGCATCAGCTAATAGGGAGAAGGGGGAGTTCGATTTATGCTTAGAGTAGTTGAGCTGCAATCTCTCCTCAAATCAAGATAACTTTTACTGGGGAAAAAAGATGGCTTCAGTGGGAGAAGTTGCATAATTACACTAAACAAAATCAGTTATACTGACAAAAGCAGTCAGTTGACTTCTGCCTGAAAAAACTCTGTTTAACCAATACTTTTGCTGTAGAAGTGATGTACAAGGATTCTGCTAATCAGCATTACTAACCAGCTCCAGCAGAGACCATCTGAGCATACAGCACACGCTGGAGTGGGGCTGTGGTGCTAATTGTGTCTGTAGCTGTAAATGTCATACGGGGACACTAGCATTTGAAGGAAAAGCAGAAATATTGCCATGTGTGCTGTGTCAAAGAGGTGTTAATAACAACCACAGACATCTCATTATATCTTATCCAAACATTTTTAGCCTCGCTTCCTGAGCAGGTTGTTTAATGTGACTGTGCTGTCTGTCTTCAACCCTCCACTCTAATATTATTTGAACCTGTTGGATTGTTTTAGCCACAGTTGAGAGAAAGACAGAGGTGTCAAATACATTGAGTTTCTATGTGTTTTGTGAAAACAGGTGGTCAGGTGAAGGAGAGCTCTGCATTAGTTCTTTCCAACTAAAGCAGCAGCTTTTGACTACATTGTTTTACCCCAGGGATTCCACACAAGAAAGCATGGGAGGAGGCAAGGGATCCAGCTGTGAAAAAAGTATCAGACAGACCTCAGACCTTGTAAGACACAGGGTAATCCAATTGTAAGGAAAAAAAAAAAAACCACCCATGCAGGAAACTGAGCTGTGTCACTACTGCTAGGTGAGGACTACTCGTTCTCAATGTGACTGCTGCTCACAGTTATTATTCATGGTCTGACTGTAGTTTGCCTTGGCTGTGCTAATTCTGTGGCCAGATCCTACCTGCCAAGTCAGTATCCCTTCTGGCTGTCAGCAGGAGCTGGCTTGAGCTCCTTCAGGCAGCCAATGCTGGCCCATTCTCTTCTGGGGAAAATGGGAGCTGTCTGGAGAGAGCACGCAGTACTTCTGTGGTCTGGTGTTTTCTGTCTAGGCTTCAGGTCATGGTTTTCAGATGGCCATGGCTTTTAAATGCCCAGGGTCTCAAAGTTGGTCTTCTGCCTTTGTTCTTGAGAAGTGCTAAGTATCATTTGACTGCTCTCTGAACTCTTTGTCATAGATGCCCAAGTTAGCGTCTGCTTGTTCAGCACTAGTCCAAGAATACTGATGTTTATTCCTCTATTTTTAGGGAATGAGAAATGGCTCATTGGTAAAATAAATAAATAAAATTTAAAAAGGGTCTCAGATGGGGGAATAATTACTTTTCTTACTGCATCCTGAGTGTGTACTTCTGGCATGGTGTACAAACCCAGACTTTTCCCCTCTCTCTTCTCCAGGCTGTCAGCGCTCCATAGGCTTGTCCAATGGGAAAGCCAAGGTGTGCAGCTACAGTGGATGGTATTACTGCAGCACCTGCCATGTGGATGACAGCTTCCTCATCCCTGCACGGCTGGTTCATAACTGGGACACTTCCAAATACAAGGTAATCTCCCTGCAGGTTGGCTTGATACCAAGTGAACTGAATCGCTCTTTAGATAGAAACACAGGCATTGCAACAGGTTGAAGGTTACAGGCATTGACTGCTAATACTGTCGTCTTTGTCCCTCTTGCGAGAATAAGCCATGCTTTCTCAACAAGACAGATGTTTTCATCACAATTTCCTTAGCCAGGCCTAAGGCGTTCCGCCACAGAAGCAGCCATGCTGCTCGCTCTTGGTGGCATCTTTTCCACCATTGCTTAGCTGGTTGTTCAAGAGACAGGGAAGGACAGAACACTGAAAACTCTCTTTTAGCCCTAATCTTTGCTAAAGATTGGGCCCTTGAGGAGTGCCTGTTTCATGAGCACTAGGGACTATGGATTGGCACTGCTTGGTGTTGGATGCTAAATTGTGGAAATGCCCGCAGGAAACTGGCATACCCAAACGTGGTGTATGCAAGGCCCAGTACGTCCTGTCTCTTAGCACAAACATTTCAAGGACACTAGAAGGACATTGTTATAGCACTTGTTTGGACCAGACAGCTGAAAGTAACATAAAGAGAAAATTCTACAGTTGTTCACTTGCCACACAAGCAGCTTTTCTAAAACTTAGTAATCTGCTATTTGCTGATGTCTCGGTGGCTGGTTGCTAGATAGGGGCAACTGATTACATGCCTCAAAGCATTATGCCAGCAAACACAGTAGCAGTGTTGTTTTGCCATCTCGGGGAGCATATGAAACAATAACAAACTCACAAGGAATCCAAACCATGCTGGAGCTTCAGACCTAGCAGCCACTGTTAGGAAAGGCTGTTTGATGTTTTATGTCTGCGAATATTATTATTATGGGCTATTTGAAAAGGGAAAAAAAATGACCAGTAAATGCCCCATTAGGGGAAAAGCAGCTCTCTTGAAGAAGAAAATTTGTCATACGGGGAGATTATTAAAAGATAGCCAGAGCATGCCATCAGGAAAATGATAGTCTTGCACCATGAAATGCAAGATTCTTCAGAGTTACAAAGCTCCTACGTGTGGAGACAAAACCCTCTCCCTTTCCTAGAAGCTAGGAATAAATATTTAAGAGTTCTTTCTTTGGATGCTTTTACCAAGGACTAAACTTGGTAGCCCACGGTAGTATAGGTAGCCCAAATATGGGGCAAGTGGATGGTAAGGCAAAGACCCCTCATATCAAGCTGTCAGTAATACTGCCAAGAAAATAAACTGTTTTGTTTTCTAAACCTGCAGAGTAAAAATTATGCTCTGTGCTCTGTTTCCTGTGGTCTTGGTATAGGCAGCTGAGGCACAAAAGGAAAGGACTTTTAAGCTTAAGCATTCATTGAAAACTTAATCTACTGTAATCGCACTATAATAGTGAGAAGTTACCAATTTGCACTTTTTGTAGACAGGCAGAACAGCTGTGAGGTGGCTTGGGAGCACAAGCAAATTCTGTGCAGATACTTTACCAGTCTCTGTGCCAAAGTGCTCAGAGAGGTGGATTTAAGAAAGGAACATCATCCCTTAGGTAGGAAAACGCTACAGAATCCCCGACTATTAGAGCAGAAACTAAGGCAGGGGGGGAAAGTGAAGAGGGCATCATGTGCTACAGTGGCAGTGTGACAACTGAGCTGAGATCACTGGCTGGATCTCCTCAACTCCGTCCCATCCATGTATAGCATTAAAATAACAAGTAGTTCTTGTTACTTTTGTGAAATCTTTGGGGTTTTCCCCTTTCTATTCAATTCTGCATACATGTGCTTTTATTTCTGTCCATGCTATACCTCCAGGGGAATTAAGCAGTACTTCTCTGAGGTAGAACACATATTGCCTGCATTTTTACATCCACATCTCCTTTCTCCATTCAGAGATAAGGCCTAATGTTTATTTCCTCTGTATGGTCTAAAAGGCAACTTAGTGCTGGCTGCTGCGCTTAATAGTTATAATGAAACTGCATGATTCCTTAGTAGTGTATTGATTAAATGTGCTGATTTGGCAAAGACAGATATCTTGTCCCACTTCCCTGAGGTGATTTTGGTAGTAATAATTTTCTTTGGGCTCATTTTTAAAGGAAGATCAGTTAATTTGTCAGCATTTCCCCTCCCATAATTTGCCAGTGTGCCCACACAAAGCTGTGCAGCAACATCCCAAAATGAAGCTAAACAATAGAGCTTCTAAATGCACAGCCCTGCCCCTCACAGGTAGCGCAGCAATGTCTGAAAGTGGAGCTTCTGCAGTGGGTGACTTGCTCCTGGCCAGAGTCATAGCATACCCCAGAGAGGTCCTGCAGGAAATAACCACATACCGCATTTGATGGTCAGAACTGAAACAGGGCTTCAGTCTTCAAAAGCTTCTGTATTTCACACAGTCTGAAATGTGCCTGTCAGTCCACCAAATGGAAGGAAAGTGAATGAAGAGTTTGAAAACCTGCACTCCTTCCCACTGCCACCTTTTCCCCGCCTCTGCAGGGGTTTCTGGTGTCTGTCCTATCTGTCCCTGGCAAAGCAAGCACCAACAGGTACTCTAGGACATGAGCTTTTTATGGTGATACAATGTAATTGGGCATGTTTCTTTTTTATGTTTCATGGACTCTCAGACATCTGAGCAGCAGCTGTAAAGTAAACTATTGCATCAATTAAGTAAGTTTTGCAAATGGAGAGGTTCTTGTCTGCTTTTGGCAAGACAGGTCATGAAAAAAACAGAAGCAGTAGAAATCTGTAGAGTCGTGTCTTCCCATACCTGGGATCTTGAAAAACAACAATGCACTTAACACCTGAAAGCACATGGGTAGGAAAAGAAAAATCCCTTTGCAATAAAAGCTCTTGAAAGGACTTGGCAGTTAGGCATGTTTCTTCTGTCATAACCAAAGCAGCAGTTCAGTCCCCAGGTCCACTTCTTTTCCTGTCTCCCTACTGTTTTCATATTTGTGTTTTTCATGTGTTTGTGTGAAGGGAAGAGAAAAGAGGCAATCTTGTGAACATCCTTTCTTCCTTTTACTTAAGCCAACTGTTTTCCCTGTTTGCACGCAAAAACCAATACGTATTGCAGTTTGGTTCAGGTGGCTTCCAGCCTGCACAAAATGCCAGACAAACACAGCAGGAAATGAACTCCCTGTGCCAGAAGGCTTCAAGGGAGGCTGACTTCTGGTAAATTGAATTCTGAACTGTAAGTTTGCAGCCTCTAGAAAAGAAAGGTCTGGAAATGTTAGCATCCATCCTTGTATGGCATTTAAGCTAAAACCCTGTTGCACTTTGCATCTTCTCACTCCATCTGGCTTATTTAATAGGATTGTCTAGTCTGCCCAGCAAAATTGGGGGACTGTGAGTATGCTACTACAGGTACTAGAATATTGGCTGGTAGCAAGCTGAATTATTATGGCTGCCTGACCCTTCCCATTATAAGACTGCATTTCAGCTTCTTGTAACTTTGCTATGGTTGGCAATGTGAGTTAATGTTTTAAATGACCTGTGTGCCTGTGTCAGATATGCAGAGTGAACTGACACCTACCTGTTAGCCAGTGATGCTGGGCAAAGCTACTTTTCCTGCAATCAACGCTCCACAGGTACATTGTATTGGCAAGGAGAGAGAAAGGTTTGCTTTGCTCCTCTCTCCTCAAAGGCTGCATTCAGACCATGCAGCACCAGAGCCACACAGTCATACTTTGTCATCGTAGTGCACATGTATTTCAGAGCCACTCATGTGACCTCAATTCTGGCATTTTTTTCTTTCTGTCCTCCTAACGTTGCAGCCTCAGGAGGGTTGCCCCATACAGGGTACAAGTGTGCACAGGCATGCATGTAGTACTTAGACGGTAATTGCCCTCTGGTTCCCGAGACAGCAGGGCAGGTGGATGAGGAGCCCATCACTTCAGCAGGGGTTTAAAGCAAGGAAGACTACAAAGAGCACTGGGCACCAGGTCCTCCTGGTGGGAGGTGCTAGTCACTGTACCAAGCATTCATGTGCCTCCTAAGGAATCACTGAATATGTGGCTTAATTTGCCCATTGGTGGAAGAGAAATAATATTTACTATAGATACAGCAGTTGTCAGGGGATTGCTGAGATATTACAGCCAGATAGTTTAATGATTGTAAAAGCAGGTTGTTTAACTGCAGTCTCTTTTGTGCACTGCAGTTAGCATGTCTAATAAAACATCAACATTGCTAGTGTTAGAAAGCTTGACATATTTGGGGTTTGTAGAGTTTTGTTCTACAAAATCCAAGTTGCCTGTGCTGCTCCTTACACAGCATGTTACCTGTGCTTCCATTCAGACAGCACGATTCCTCGTACATGCATTATTTAAAAAAAAAAAAAGGGAAGAAAGAAATGAGTGGGATGTTTAACACAAATAGGTCTGCTGTATTTAAAATTACACATTGTATTATCTGTGTAGTTATTGGTGGTCTTGGCATTATTTCTTATATTTTTATTATGCATTGTGAAAAGGTTACATTTGGAGCTAGCTTTCCCTGTAAGTAGCTAGTGACTCCTGTAGCTACTAACTTGTGCTGGTTTTGGAAGTGGTGCTATTTATAAGGATGTATGTTGCTTTTACCTACTTCCTACCTTACAGCACCAGAAGGGAAATAACATCCTAAATCTCAAGAGGCTATGGTGTGCCCTTTTTCCTTTTGTTAGCCTAATTCATCCTTCCCTCAACTCAGTGTAAACACTGATTTAAAGGTCCAGGAGGACTAATTGAATTGTGGAGCAAACAGTATTTCTATAGCACAGTTTCAAGTGATTTGCAGCTCATTTCGGATAATCCCATCTTCTCTTTTCCAGCTGTGATAGAATGCAGAAATAAGGAATGAGAGGGAATTTGGCCTTCTCACCTCAGAAGCAGGAGTATCTTTTCTAGTGGGAACAAAAGTCCCATTAATTTATCAAGATTACAGTAGCTCTTTGCAAGTGGAGATAGAACAGAGCACTGTCATGAAAAAGGCGTAAGAAAATTTTTTTGCAGGTGAAACACTGGGATTGAGTAATACCAGTAAAATTCAACTTTATTTATCTGTATTTAAAAAAACACAACAACTTGATAGATGTGCTTCTGATTATTTTCTTTTTACATAATTTTAACCGTACTGGATGAGCATGAAACAAATGGGAGTAGTACTTTACACTGGAGTTCTATACCCTAGGATAGTCCAATGTGATTGGATTTGCAGTGTGTATGTTTCCTTTTCTAATGTTGTGCTTTGGCACTTACCTAATCACTTGCTTCTTGCCAAAAAGAAAACAGGGAACAAAAAGAAAAATATTAACAGGGAAGAAACTTGGTAATCAGTTTTTAGACTTGAAAAACATCTAGTAAGCTATGTTACCCTGCAGTGAAAACATGTGTGGCTGCAAATATCGCTGTACTTTGGGTAAGTAAGCAATTATCTCATACACTCAACTTTGATGGGCTTGATGAAGTTTGACTTGGCTATAAGCAGAGACAGTTGGATCTCTCTCAGCTCTGTCTTCATCTGTAATTGGTAACAGAGTAAGTTTTCAGATGCAGAGAATAGCTGACAGATCACAGAGGCGAAGATCTACTTAAAAAGAGTTGGGAAGAAAACCTAGCTAAACTGGTTGCTTTATTTTTCAGGTATCAAAGCAAGCCAAAGAGTTCCTGGAATATGTTTATGAGGAGCCATTGATTGATATCCAGCAGGAAAATCCCATGTTGTACAAGCATGTTGAATCTCTGGCAACTGTTGTCCGCCTGAGACAGCAGCTAAAATCTCTCCGAGCCTATTTGTTCAGCTGCAGAGCAGCAGTGGCTGAAGATCTGCGTAGAAGGTAAGAACCACAGGCAGCATACAGCACAAGGATGTCATTTCCTTGTCATGTTGCTGTTCTCCTTTTTTTTCCCCTCACAATCTAGTTCTGAAGGTGTTACCCATTTAGAAAGATGTTGTGCTTGTATCTGACTTCCCTGGGCAGCTGTGTTATCTACTGCCAAAGAAAATGGTTTTGTAGGGTCTGAATATCTTAAGTTGTTCTTGACAGCTATTAGCGCAGGGTTCAATTGTTGTGGTGAGCATCTTTTACTCCTCCTCAGGCTTCCTGGCTGTGTGTGAGCATTTTCAGTCAGATGTGATACCTCATGCTCCCTCCCATGGCATCGCAGTGCGGTAGCCACTGTTGGGACCTTTGAAACACCTCACAGTATGGCAAAACATGAGAGAGGCCAGAGTCAATCACCTGTCCAGTGCTTCTGCCCTCTTCTGTGACATGATCTTGCACAAAGGCAGAGGACAGATGTAGTACTGTGGCACGTGACCCAGCATATGATTTATGTGACACCAGAGCAGTTATGCTATTGCTCAGCCACTATCTTTTCCATCCTTGACATGGCCGTGTTGAGCGTTTTGTTTATTGGAAAACACAGGGTCGCAGCACAGCAGAAGGTGTTTCATATTGAGTTTTCTGTGGTGGAAACAGTAGTTTTAAATGAAGTGAACTTCATTTTAGAAGTGCTGTATCTTAGTCCATTCAGCTGCTGCTGCATTTTTCTAACAAGAAAAATGAACAATCTTCTTAAAACCATCAAGCCACAGTTGTGACCTTAAAAAAGCCAAGTTACTTTTGTCGTGGGTCTCCGAAAGAGATGGGGAGATGTCTCTGCCCATGCCATACTGTGAGGTGAGTGGCTCCAGGCACATGCAGCTGACCTGGTGGGAAATGCATCTGTAAGCATTTGTATACCCCAAGTTTGTAAGTAAGACAAGACTGCAAATAGGAAAGCCACTGCTTTGAAATTATGAGCTGCTAAAGGGCAAGAAAGCAGATGACATCAGTGACTGTATTTTGAGCATGGTGTTTTACGGATGGAGGACCTGAATTCTCTGGGAGGGACAGGAGGCTGCTCTATTAGTGTCTTTATCCCAGGTGAGAAGTGAGCTGGTCTGCTATTTGGTACATAACCTATGTCATTGCTTTGATGAACTACCTAGAACAACTAATAGAAGGATATAGCAACAGGTTTCTGGAGAGCACTACTGAGTTCTTGAGTCAGACCCGCTGTGTGTTAATATGTGTTTGTGTCTTACTGCTCAATTCCTATTATTTGTTAGGGCATCTTACAACATTTTAAAAATTAGGATTATTTTTCTTTTATTCTAGAGGATGTTGTTATCTTGCAGAGCTGTTTTGCTCTTCAGCTGTAATAACTTTCCTATGCCATCCTCTCCAACTGCAATAAAACTAAAAGGAGAATAAGATTTGTGAAGGCTGCCATTCAGAAAAAGTGGCAGAAAAGAAATTATGCTTTCTGATTAATGCTGAAGAAAAGAATGCCGTGATTAAAATAGGCAGGAGGAGGCACGAGACTGAATGGACTTGGGTAAGAGAGTGAAAGAAGATCAAAGGAGGCCTAAGCAGGGAAATCAATGGACTAGAGACAAAGGGATGAGGGAAAGCCAGGAGAAGGAGGAGATTCAAAGAGGGAAGGGATCTCAGAAAATTCAGAGTTAATGAAGAAATCAGGGCAAAGAGGGAGCCCAAAAACCTACCTCCAAAAAGGAGAGATGACAAGTGCTGAGGAAATGGAGAGAAGAGAGAATGGACAAAAATTAGTAGAGAAATGTGTGCATGGTCTTTTCTTGGGGTGGCGAGGAGAGAGAAAAAACTCCCTGTATCAAAACGAAACAGCCAGAATGGCAGAAGGGGAAACTGGGAAATACTCCAAATGCTCCCTTTTCTTACCTAAGGGTTCCTTCACACTGTCTCCAGTTAAACCACCTGTGGAGACCCCAGCCCAAGAATGGTTTGCTTTTGTACTGGGGAAGCATCTCCAGTTTGGTAGGGTTTGTTAAAAGTGCTGTAAAAGCCACTGAAGGAATGTACAAAACACACCTTAGAGTCCAGATCCTTCTTGGTCTGTCAAGTCTCTGTCAGGGTGGGTTTGGTGCTCTGTTCGTCCCTCAGATCTCCCCTAAGAGGTTTGCAGAGATGGAAAGGAAGAGAAGTTCTTTTCCCAGAAGGAGTTATTCCTCGCTCAAAACTGGTCCCAATGGCTTTGCTTTCTGTATGTAGTATCACAGTGTGCAGACGTTCACTATCAATGTGATGGCTTTATAGAGCACAGCTGAAAAGTAAACAAAGAAAATGTGATTTAAATTTCCCTTTGGCTCAACACATGGGCAAGTTGCAAGAAAAGGAGGAGTTTAAACAATAAGGTGAGACAGCATTCCTAAACTTAGTACTGTTTCCTAGTTAGAAATGAAAGGCTGGGGGAGAGAATCCAGTTATCTGTCCTGCTCTAAAAACATTCTTTTTCTGCTTGGTCTTCACCTTAGTATGTGAATGACTATTAATCACAAGAAAGTGAACATAGCATCTTGAAGACCTGTCAGACCCATATAAACATACTGAAACAAACTGTTAATATTGCTGTCTAGGGAGAACTAAAAACAGACTGATTAATTGTATTGGCACCTTGCTGCCTTTGGGACACTGATAGAGCCTGCCTTATTAGGGAAAAGTAGATCACACTGAGGCTTCTTTTATTAATACTATTTGCATTATCATCTTCTTTAAATCTATACCTTGCTCTTGAACCAGATTGCAAAATGAAGATGGCAATGAAGTTGGAAACTCTTGGTGTCCTCTGGGAAGACAAAACTGTTTACAGTGCTTACAAGTCACTTTTTCTGAAGAATTCCAGATGGCTATAAACCGGGTTAGCTCAGGATCCAGTTGGCTTGAATGTGGAAATGTTATTTATAATGCTTGGTGTGCATAGATAGGTACTTTGGGAACTTTGAAACTTGGCATCTAGCAGAGAACTCAGGGCTGAACCACATTGGGAACTTTGAAGAAACAAGTGACTAAGTAGAAAGAAAGGAAGAAAAAAAGGAAGGAAGAAAGGAAAAGAAGCAGAAGAAATCCTGAAAGTAGCTAGAAGGCTCACAACAAGAGTGGTCGTCTTCAGTTATAGTGATTTGTTCTCACCGATTGCTCCACTGGATGCTAAGCTCTTTTTATATTTGCAAGGGAAAAAAATAAAAGAATTCAGACTTGGCTGGGAGGAGAAAGAAGGCCCTCCACCGGTGCGTATCAGCAGCGTTCCTCTGAGATTAGCCAGCTGAGACTCCGAGCCTGTTGCTGAGCTTGCTGTTTTACAAGGGACATTGTTATGCCTAGTTTGCTGTGGCTGTCACCTCAGTATTGCAACAGACATAATTTGCTGCAAATGTCTTTACTCAACAAGTTCTTGCTTGTTTCGGTTGTCTTGCTTGTGTGGATGCTGTTCAGGCAGAAACATGCAAGACCAAAGCCTAGAGCCAACAGAGAATTAGTACAAGTGGAGCTGTACAGATCCCACTACCACCTGCAGATTGTGGGATGATGGATGATGAATGAATGGCACAGGCAAACAAGATGGAGTCAATAAACTTGATAGCTGGGAAAGAGCGAGAATCTCCAAGTCCATTATATACTGAGGTTATTCTGTGAAGTCGTGCTGAATGATGCAGGTTTTATTCTGGTTTTGCTTTCTTCCTTTTACTCTAGACATAAGACACGCTAACAGCGTGTTTGTGTGCTGCAGCCTCTTTTCCTCTGTTCTTGTCATGGTTGAAGGCTCTTCAGTCAAGGAGCTGTCAGAATGATTGTTTGGGAAGTCTTCAGGCACTTCCATGTCTACTGTAGGGTAGGCTAGCCCAGGTCAACCTTGGAGCTCTCTCTGGGCTCTCTGCTCTCTCAGCTATACACCTAAACTTGCAGTTCAGTTGTTGCTAGCCCAGATATTTTAGACAGATGGCAGCGACACAAGGTAAATGTTCTGCAGCACTTTCCCCTATACATTAGTGCTCGTTGCAGTGCCCTTGCTCTGTAAGTAAATCTTCTGAATGGTGGTGAGAAACTATATGGAAAAATTTGCCTCTTGTTACTCATCTCTGTCTGATACCATTTGTCTATCAGCTCTAGAACAGCAATACATCAGTTTTACCCTAGCAAAACTCCAGTGCTAGATACATTACTTAGCATCTTACAGGAAGACCAAATTAGAGCTCGCTGTTGCAGCAGGAGGCTAAAGGTACACCTCCAGTGCCACAGACACGTGGTCCTGGCGGAGCCTGCCGGTCTGTCAGCACAATGCAAAACAAGCCCAAATTCAGTTATGCTGAACAATAGAGTCCTGTCACTTCCTACAGTGAGGCCTTAGACATATCACATCTGACTACAGGAGTAGATTACTTTCAAAATATTTGTGTGACAATTGAGGAACCTGTATAAACACATCACAGGAATCCTGATTGATCTTATGCAATCACTATGCCACCAAATACCTCACGTATGTGAAGCTGGGGCTATGTCATCTTTCAGACCAAGGACAACAGAAGGTCATTAAGTCATGTCCAGACTATCAAAGGAGACTGTTTTCTCCATTTTCTTTGCAATGGGTAGACCATTTGGAGAGTGGAAAATCCCAAAGCAGGAAAACAAAGACACAACTTGTGAAAGCAGTAGACTGCAAAAAGAAAGTTTGAGCAGGAAAGGAACAGAAGGATGTGGTTTCATAGCACTCAGGGCTCTGAATTAACGGCAAGACCAACAGAAGAAGAAAATTTGTTGCACGAGTAATTGAAAAGAGGGTGAGAGAAACTCATTCAAAGAGGATATCTGGATATCCTGGGAGAATCCACTGTTAAGACCAAACAACACCCCAAAGTGAGGGAAGGTGAGAAAATAAATGCAGAGAAGTATGCATGAGCCGTTTGTTGTTTTATATAGATCCTGCATGCGTGTAGTCATCGCAGTAGCTGAAATAAAGCATGCCTGTTGATGTAGCT